TTACCTCTGTCCTGGAAATCACCCTGACTCTAGTTGTCGAGATACTTACCAGTTTTTCTGCCTTGACTGGACATGTGTAACTTTAGCCACTTATTCTGGGGGATTAACCCGATCTTCAACTCTTTCCATTGCTCGTGCTTCCCATCCTAGACTGTGTACTACAAAAAATTGCAATCCTCTTACTATAACCGTTCATAACCCTAATTCAGCTCAATGGTACTACAGTATGTCATGGGAATTAAGGCTTTATATCCTGGGATTTGATGTTGGAACTATGTTCACCATCCAGAAAAAAATCCTGGTCTCATGGAGCCCTCCTAAGCCAATTGGGCCTTTACCTGATCTAGGTGACCCTATGTTCCAAAAACACCCAGATAAGGTCAATTTAACTGTTCCGCTGCCATTCCTAGTTCCTAAAGCCCAACTGCAATGACAACATCTCCAACCCAGCCTGATGTTCATACTAGGTGGGCTACATCACCTCATGAATCTCACCCAGCCTAAACTAGCTCAAGATTGTTGGCTATGTCTAAAAGCCAAATCCCCTTACTATGTGGGATTAGGAGTAGAAGCCATGCTTAGAAGTGGCCCTCTATTTTGTCGTGCATGACCCCGTGCCCTCACACTAGGAGACGTGTCTGGGAATGCTTCTTGTCTAATTAGCACCGGATATGACTTACCTGCTTCTCCATTTCAGGTTACTTGTAATCAGTCCCTGCTTACTTCCTTAAGCACTTCAGTCTCTTACCAGGCACCTAACAATACCTGGTTAGCCCGCACCTCCGGTCTCACTCACTGTATCGATGGGACTGAACCAGGACCTCTCTTGTGCATGTTAGTTCATGTACTTCCCCAGGCATACATGTACAGTAGACCGGAAGGACAACTCCTCATCTCTCCCCCTGGATTGCATCCCAGGTTTCGCTGAGGCGCCCTGCTCCTAGTACCCCTCCTGGACGGCCTTAGCATAGCCGGATCAGCAGCCATCGGCATGACTGCCCTAGTTCAGGGAGAAACTCGACTAATGTCCCTGTCTCAACAGGTAGATGCTAATTTAAGCAACCTCCAGTCAGCCATAGATACACTGCATATCCAGGTAGAGTCTCTGGCTGAAGTAGTTCTTCAAACTGCCAAGGCTTAGATCTGCTATTCCTCTCCCAAGGAGGTTTATGCGCAGCCCTAGGAGACAGTTGTTGCTTCTATGCCAATCAGTCTGGCGTCATAAAGGATACTCTCCAAAAGGCGGGAGAAAATCTAGATAGACGCCAACAAGAGGGAGAAAATAACATCCCCTGGTATCAAAACATGTTTAACTGGAATCCATGGCTAACTACTCTAGTCATGAGGTTAGCTAGACCCCTTCTCCTCCTGCTGTTAGGCTTAATCTTCAGGCCGTGTATATTAAACTGGTTTCTTAATTTTCTAAAACAACGCATAGCTTCTGTCAAGCTTATGTATCTTAAAACCCAATATGACTCCCTTGTTATAGCTGAGGAATCAACGATTTGATTCCCCCAAAACACAAGTGGGGAATGTAATACCTAACCTTGTTTGAACATGGATAGACTCTCCCTTAGCTACCTAACCTTGTTTTAATATGAATAGACTCTCCCCTAGATGAGAAAAATGGACGGACTCCATTTGGATCCTTCATTTGCAAGACATCAAGGACTCCTTACCCACCCCCTTCCTCAAGGAGTTAACTTGTGTAAGCTGAGTCTCAGCCTATCAAAGAGTCCAATTAACTGATAAGGTGCTGAGGCAAACTGGTGTCCACAGTTCCCAGCAATGTACTCAGAGATGGTACCATAAAGCCCCCGCATTTGTCCAGTAGATAATGCCCAGAGCCCCCTCACCTATCACTTTGTGATGAATTTGTAGCCCCTGCACCTGGAACTGTTTGTTTTCCTGTAACCATTTTTCTTTTTAACTTTTTTTGTTTGTTTCTCTTCTTTAAAGTTGCTGCGGCTAGAATCCCCCTTCCCACTCTAAACCAAAGTATAAAAAAAAATTAGCCCCCTCTTAGGGGCCGAGAGAATTTCGAGCGCTAGCTGTCTCTCGATCACAGGCTAATAAAGGACTCTAGAATTTGTCTCAAAGTGTGACGTTTCTCTCTAACTCGCTTGGGTACAACACTACTCTGGAAGTACCTAAGGGAGACTGTGATGAGTGGTGACAGGAAGCATCTGAGAATGATGAAAAGACCATATTCTTTCATGAAGTCAGGGGAGGAGCGGTCAAGGAAAGGTATCTTGATGACCTGAGGTTTTCATATGAGAACAAAAATCATGGACTTCAGTAGTTTTCAGAAGTAAATTATTTGGTAATATTTACTGTATCTTCAAAAATGTTCTAAAGCCATTCTTAGGCGCAATACTCATCTTAGTAACAATTCAGTGAATATTTTCCCTACCTCGAGTGTTCCTGTTAAATAATAGGCTTATATTTTAATATATATAACAATTCTGACATTAAATAATTTTTCTTTTTTTTTTTTTTTTTGAGATGGAGTCTTTTTCTGTCACCCAGGCTGGAGTACAGTGGTGGGATCTTGGTTCACTGCAGCCTCCACCTCCTGGGTTCAAGCGATTCTCCTGCCTCCACATCCCAAGTAGCTGGGACCACAGGTGCATGCACCACTATGCCTGGCTAATTTTTGTATTTTTAGTAGAGACGGAGTTTCACCATGTTGGCCAGGCTGGTCTCGAACTCCTGACCTCAAGTGATCTGCCCATCTCAGCCTCCCAAAGTTCTGGGATTACAGGTGAGAGCCACAAGAGCCACGATGTCTGCCCTGGAATAATTTCATTTGATATTTTTGTATTCATAAACAAATACTAAATTTCTCTGTAATTAATCACAACCTGGTTCTCCTTTGCAGTGCTTTATCTCCTACTCATGTCCCTTGTTCCCTTGCTTAGCAGCAGTCATTTCTGTATCCTTCTTGGTTAAGATGAAAAAGAATCTTCTTTTTTAATTTCAACATGAAATCATTTAAACATTCAATACATTTCATTTGGTCTTGTATGATTATTCTTTTAGGATTATACTAAATCAGTGCATCTATATTCTACTTGGATTTCTGAATCTTTATAGGTGATATTTGCTCATAAAATAAGCAATTAGATTTAAATGAGAAATTGCCACAATCAAAAATGAAGAAAAAACTACAACCAGGTTTAAAGAAAATGACAAGATAGACGACATAAAATGTGTGAAGCATTAGAAAAACATAGCTATGGCCAAGGGTAAGGCACACAGTGATCAAACACATTGTCCAATTTTGATTCTGCCTCTTACAAAGGAGTTACTTTAGAAAAGTCATTAAGCTTCCTTGTGTAAGAGCTCCTTAACTGTAATATGGAAATAATAAAGCACTTTTTATTTTATATACCACAGAATTATTGTAAAAGTTATATGTAAAACACTAATATAGTACTCTCCTCATGGGGATGTATATGTTTTTCTTTTTAGAGCAAAACTCTTATTTTAAAAACAAGGTCTGGTTGGGGATGGTGGCTCATGCCTGTAATCCCAGCACTTTGGGAGTCTGAGGTGGGCAGATCATGAGGTCAGGAGATCGAGACCATCCTGGTCAACGTGATGAAACCCTGTCTCTACTAAAATACAAAAAAATTTAGCTGGGTCTGGTGGCACGTGCCTGTAGTTCCAGCTACTCAGGAGGCTGAGGCAGGGGAATTCCTTGAACCCGGGAGGTGGAGGTTGCAGTGAGCTGAGATCATGCCACTGCACTCCAGCCTGGTGACAGAGCTAAACTCTGTCTAAAAAATAAAATAAAATAAAATAAAATAAAATAAAATAATTATTAAAAATAAAAAAATAGGGTCTAATAAGAAAACATCTAAGTTGGAAACAATGGTAAGTGGACAATAGGGGATTTTATTTGCAAAAGTGAAACAGATTTTATGTTTCCACACAGGGTTCTCTCACTTTGAATGTAATTATCAGTCACTGAAAAATGACGGCCTCCAGGGATTTGGCAATAGGCATGATCTTCTTATCTCAGATCATAGTCGGATTCCTGGGGAGTTTCTTCTTTACCACTATAGTTTCCTTTGTTTCACCAGAGGTTTGTTATGGTCCACAGATCTGATTCTCAAGCATCTGACCATAGCCAACTCCTTGGTTATACTCACTAAAGGAATCCCACAAACAATGGCTGCTTTTGGATTGAAGGATACTGAGAGTGATATTGGATGCAAACTTGTGTTTTATGGTCACAGAGTGGGCAGGGCTGTGTGCATTGGCAACGCCTGCCTCCTGAGTATCTTCCAGGTCATCACCATCAGCCCCTGCGAATTCAGGTGGGCACAGCTTAAACTACATGCTCCCAGATACATCGGGTCCTCCAACATCCTGGTCCTGTGCTGGATTCTGAACATGCTGGTAAATATTACTGTTCCTCTACATATGACTGGCAAGTGGAACAGCATAAATAGCACAAAGACAAATGATTATAAGTGTTGTTCTGGAGGATGTAGGAGCAGAATTCTATGTTCATTACATATTGTCTTGTTATCATCCCTTCACGTTTCGTGTGTGGGGCGCATGACCTTGGCCAGTGACTCCATGGTTTTTATCCTACACAGAGGCAAGCAGCAGGTCCAGCACATTCAGGGGACCAACCTCTCCCCCCGATCCCTACTGAGTCGAGAGTCGCCCAAAATATCCTGGTCCTGGTGAGCACCTTCTGTTATTTTACTCGCTCTCCTCCATCTTTACATGTCTCTTTTTCCTAATCCCAGTTGGTGGCTGGTGAATGTCTTATTTTAATTTAATTTAATAATTGTCTTAATTTAATACTTAATTTTGGAGAGCTAAATAATTAAACATGAGGCCAAAGTACATAAGAAGGCGGCAGTCTTTTATTGCAAATATGCACACACTCTCGGGCGAGGTTCTCCCCTCCTCAGGTATGCGGCCAGGGAAGTCGTGCCAGCGCTCTAGGGTGAGGTTCTCTGGTCCACAAGTAGGTGAGGTTCTCCGGTCCACAAGTAGGAGAGGCCGAAGAAGTCATGCGGGCTCCTGCCGGCAGCGGACTTTTATGCATTGGTACTGGAAGGGGGAGGGCAGTGGGTGGGATAAGGGCATGATAGGGGCGTCTCCATAGGCATGGCCAGGTAAGTTTCAATCTCTTCAGATTGACGTCACCTGGCGCATGCTCCTGTTGATCTGCATCTTCCGAGGCCCGGGCTGCATTTTCCCGGCCCGGGAAAGTTGGTGAGGAAGAACCCGGAAGCAACATGGATTGTGCCTTCTTGTTCACCTTCCTCCATCTTGTCCTTTCTCCCTCACCCAAACAGTGAACACCTCTGCACTGATGACTGCCTGCTTTCCCACGGTCAGCCTGTTTGTGCTTATGAACCACCATCCCAGGATACCCAGGCTGGGCTCTGCCTGCTGTGGAGAGAATACACAGTTTCCTAAGCTGGTCAGATAGTTCTTCAATTTATGTGGATTGTCTTCTTTCTATACAATGAATGGCCATTTGTTGATTTCTTCCTGCAGAAGGTTAAGCACCACAATTGGCAGACAATTGCAAAGTGTGTGTGAGACTCAGAATCCGTCTTTGCCCTTCAAGGATTTTTCATGTATCATAAACGATAGTTACAGATGAAATGTTTTGCAAAGTGCTTTCATAATTTTCATTTTGTTAATGTTGCAATGGAGAAGTTTAGAGGCAAATTATTCATTAAATGTGGGCCTCTAATAATTTGGAATAATGCAACTTTAAACCAATTAATAAAAAATGTTATGAAATTAACTGGGCACAGCAGTGTAAGAAAAGTAATGAAATAAAGCTTTAAGTGATGATCAATGAAGAAAGTGAGAAGAAAGTCATAGTTCACACCATTTTTTGTTTTGAATTAATCTTCATTTTTTTCCCATTTTCAAGTTGTAGAATTTTATTTTTGTCCTTGATGATTATACTTTATTTTAATGAGACTAGTTTTTGATTATTTACAAAGAATTCTGTCCTATAATTTTTCTGATGTGTAGACCCTATGTTCATGCTTCTTATATTTTTACGAAGATTTTCTCTCTTTTGGTTTTGAAGGAGTATTCTCTGCTCCTTCACCTGAACGTTCAGCCTTTTAATCCAGAGTAATTGTATAAAATTTGGTATTTATCCCACATATTCTGTTGTTTGTATGTTTTTGTAATTTATACTTAATATTTTGAGTTTAAAATTTTTGCTATTTATATCATTCTACTGTTGTTTCTTCTATTTTTGAATAAAATCTAGACGCATACTTTTCTAAAAGGTAAGAAGGAAAAGCAGCCGTTCTACCACTGGGCCTGGGATGGAGTTGGAGGGAAAATAATGTATCAGATCCTTCAGGATGTTAAAGACCAGGTTTTGTCATTTTACCTTAAATTCATTGTTTCTTTAATGAATGCAAGCTTTTTTTTTCTTTTTTTAAATTGCAAGTCTAGTCGAATAGACCAAATGTTCCTACTTCTAAAATAAGCTACAAGTCATCTTTTTCTATGAAAATGTGACCTGGTGCCACAGCGAAATTAGCAGCCGTATCATCAGCCGGTGGCAGCAAAGAAATGCTAATTTCTGGCATCCCATGGGCTCCTATTGAAGCAACTTCATAAAGCATGAAGATATATATTCTTCTGAAGTTTCAAACAAATAAAAATGATCATTGTGCTTGTGGGTCTTGTACCTTTCAATATATACATAAATGATGGCAAATTAACAAATAAAAGCAGGTCCTTGATTTCCAATAAAATAATAAGGCAGAGGGTTGGCAGTGAAAGGAAAAATGTTTAGAATGGAAAAAAAGTTACAAAATCATGTTAGCATTCACAAAAAAGATCATGCGGAGATCAGATCCATACTGACTAAACATTGAAAATTCAGCTACAATCCAAAGAACCCTGTAGAGTCCAAAGGCATGCATGCCAAGCTGATGGCAGATTGTACCACTGCTCTCCAGCCTGGCTGACAGAGCAAGACACTGTCTCAAAAAGATAAAAGAAGCTTAGCCTAAATTTTTATTTTATAAAATATAATGTAAGTGAAAAATTTAGAATAAGTATTACATGGAATATAATCAAATAAAATTAATGATAAAATAGAGCTTACTGCAGTGTTAATAAAAATGTGAAAATATATATTTAATATTAAAAAATAAACAGTATTTAAAACTTCATGGAGATTTTTAAAAAGTCTACATTCTAAGACAAACAACTTTACACTAATTAGAAAACTTAGAGGAAAAAGTGATTTCTGTCAAATAAGATACCTAATACATACATTATGTCAAAACTTAAAACTAAGCAAGCGTAAGTCATGAATTTGCATGTATAATTAATATACAGGTACACAAAATGATTGAGAATGGTTCATTTCAGAAATACAGGACACGCCAATGAGAGAATCAGCTCATATTATGACATATGAGATGAAAAATTAAATGAGATAACAGCATTCATTGAGTAAATCACTTCTTGCCTTTGTAATTTTATAAGTAAATTAACTTAGAAAAATATTTTACCAGAGAATGTTTTAATTATTGGTGATAACAACACTTGAGGATATAGAAATAAAACATAAATGACCAATGAGCATGTGAAAAGACACTCAGAATTCTTATTCATTAGGGAAATTCAAATCAAAACCGCAATGAAGTGTTAGTTGACACCCACTAGGATGGCCATACTCAAGAAGACAGAGAAACAGAACTAATAGAATGAATATCTACATCTATATATCAAGGTTTACATATTTTTTCACCCATATGTGTGTGTGTGTGTGTGTGTATTGAATAAAGCTATTTACAGTAGTGTCTCAGCAGAAGGCCATCCCTGCCCCCTCCAGGCTCTGGATTAGAGAATCTTCTTCTTTTTTTTTTTTCTTTTGAGATGAATTTTCTTTCTTGTTGTCCAGGCTGGAGTGAAATGGCGTGGTCTTGGCTCACTGCAACTTCTGCCTCCCGAGTTCAAGCAATTCTCCTGCTTCAGCCTCCCAAGTAGCTGGGATTACAGGCAACCACCACTATGCCCGGCTAACTTTTTTTGTATTTTTAGTAGAGATGGGGTTTCACCACATTAGCCAGGCTGATCTCAAACTCCCGACCTCAGGTGACCTGCCCGCCTTGACCTCCCAAAGTGCTGGGATTACAGGTGTGAGCCACCGTGCCCAGGTTAGAGAACGTTTTGCTCCTGCACTCACTCCAGTCCAGCACTGGTCCTTGTTCACAGTGTGGTGCACCTGCCTTTCACCTAGGGAAATGGAACACATTACCTCATCAACACCTCTTTGCCAATCTCTTGTCTCTGCTCTGCAGACTTTTGAGCCATGATCTGAGGAGTGAACGTGATGGGTCACTGGGTTTCTGACAACCGAACACCTGGTTCTGCTCAGGACAGGCCAGACCCACATGACATCACCCCCACTGCACAAACACACATAGGGAGGTGGGGTGTGACTATCCAGGTGGGATTAGGGTGGTGGCCAGACATTGATTGGCCTGCTCTCAGTTGCCAGTGTTACCTTCGAGTACCTCCTGAACATGGCCAGAGGTGATGGTGTTGAGGACTGACCCAACGTCAGCAGCTTCAGAAAAACCTATCATTCAGGGTTTTGTGGTGCCAGAACTATAGGAAATTGGGATCAGCAGGATAACATCTAATTCTCTTTAGTGTCTTCAGCCAAGTGAGCTGGAGAGAGACTGTTTCTAGAATGTGGGTGCCTGGTTTCCAGTGCTGCAAGTTCTGTTGGGGTCTATTGTCAAGGAAGTGAGGTCACTCTTTGGGGTCCCTTACCTGGGGCTACTCCTGAAGGGATCTTCTGTTGCCCTCAGCACTCCTAGTTCTCAAACCTTCAAGTGACACTGCTGGGTGTCCCACATTTCTGACTTGAAGGCAGCAGACAATGGGAATTCTCAGCCTCCATAGTGACACGAGCCAATTGCTTAAAATGAATACACATTTATTAAATATTAATATCTATACTTAAATAAATTGCATGTATGCATTTAAGTTAAAATAATTTATTAATTCAATGATTTGAGTTATTCAAATTTAAGCAATTTAAATTGGTTTTGTTTCTCTGGAACGCCCTGTCCAAGAAGTCATGTCATAATCACCTGAATCGTCTGCAGGTGCAGGAATCACTTTGATCAGTGATACTCAACCATGACGGATGGTTTAGCAGAAGACAGACTGACACATTTGACTCTGTAAATTCTGGGAAACTCTCTTCTTTATCATTATGCCTCCCTTTTCCTCACTGGGTGCAGGTTAAGGTGCACAGATTTGATTCTCATGCATCTGATTATAGCCAACTTCCCGGTCATTCTCTCTAAAGAAATCTGGCAGACAATGACATCTTTGGTTCGAACAACTTCAATGACTTTTCATGTGGACTTCTACTCTGCCTTCAGAGACTGGGCAGGGCTGTGCCTCCTGGCAGCACTTGCCTCCTGAGTGTCTTCCAGGCCATCCCTGTTCCCCCAGGGACTCCAGTAGGGCAGAGCTTACAGTAATATTTCCTAAGTTCACTGGACACTTGATTCTCTCGTGCTGGATCCTAAACACACTAGTAAATAATTTTCCTCTTTATGTGTCTGGTTATAACTCAATGCAGCCATCACAAGGAAAATAGATAATGGATACTGTTATGCTGTGATTCATGTCAAAATCTCACACTCGCAGTGTGCTGTGCTGTTCTTATACCCCGATGTTTTGGATTTGGGAATCACGGCTTGGGCCAGAGGCTCCATGGTTTTCATCCTGCACCGGCACAAGCTGCAGGTCCAACACATTCATGGGACCCAATGGCTGTCCAGGTCCTCCCCTGAGTCCAGAGTCACCTAAGCCATCCTGGCCCTGGGGCACATCTATGTATGCTTTTACATCCTCTTTTCCTTTTGTCAATTTTTGGCTCTTTTTAATCCTCTTGGGCAGTGGCTGGTGAACATTTCTGCCCTGAGTGCTGTGTGTTCCCCAACTCTCAGCCTTTTTGTTTCCATCAGCTGTGACTCTGGTGTCTCCAGGCTCTGCTTTGCCTGACACAGAATACAAAATCTACTCATTTTATCCTATATGTTTGTTGTCTATTTTTGCACAATGTCCAGTTGTTTACTCATCTCCCACAGAATTGTAAGCACAGTTGTGAAAATGACGTTACAAGGGATTGGTGATACATACAGAAAAACACCTACATATGTCTAACTAACATATGTGGGGATAATCAGAATATGTTTGTTATCCATCAAGCAATAATACTGGAAAATTATGCTTTAAGATATGTAAAGATAATACTATAACAATGTTAAACTATTTTAACTGTATTGTCTTTTTAAATCTGATATATCACCATCTTCACTGATTAATTGGTTAAAATCACATATAAGGTATCTTTACTTTTTCCACTTTAATTTTAATTGGTTAAAATTACATATAATTTATCTTCTAATTTTTCTACTCCTTCAAGAGATATAACTAAAACATAAATATATATAAAGATTATGTTTATGTTTTAGTTGTATCTCTTGAAGGAAA